TCTTTATTTGACAGAAGGAAAACACGGAGGCCTGAGAGTCAGCGATGTGCCCAAAGCCACCCAGGGAAGTGACAGCTCTGAGCTCACTCTGGCTCATGTAGGAAGACAGCATTTCCACGGACCAGTGGTCCTGGCTGTGGTCTAGGACCACAGGGTCAGCAGTGTCCCTAGCTTTGAGGACACGCGTTGTCTTGGGCTCCACCCCGGACCCCTGAATCAGAAGCCTGACAACAGGTGTAGCAATAAGCCTTCCTTATTGACAAGGCTGACGCGGGCCCGCTACAGAGCCTCTCGGCTGCCCGCCTCATCCTCACCGGGGCTGCCCACAGTCACAGCACCGGGCAGCTGCCAGAACCCCGAAGCAGCCAGGCATGCTGGCACAGGTCTGTCCTCGCACCACTTGGGACCTGAGGCTGGGGCTCGTTGCAATTTCAAGGCCAACCTATACTACATAGCAAAACCCTGACTAAAAAACAGTAACAATAATAAAAAAACAAGCCTTGGCTCGCCCCTGACAACTAGCCCAAGATTTTTAGCACAGGAAGCTAGGATTCAGGGGTTATTTTAAAGACTTTGCTAAGGTGGTTCCAGGAAAGTTTAGTAACAAGGAAGCCGCAGCTTCAAGCCACACGGTTCTGAGCGGGCATTGCAGGCCGTAGCATCCCGCTCCGAACTTACACTTTAAACACACAAGCTGCCTCCCTGTTCACCACTCGTGGCTCTTCCAAACCCACTGTCCCACCATCGAGTCCCAAACTTCAGCACCCTGAAAGCCAGAATCTATAAATCACAAGTGTTTAAACGCCAGGACACACCCTGGTTCATCGGGAGTCAGTGAAGCCACACACACAAGGACACACGGGCTGAGGAGCAAGCATGATTTATTTCAGTGTTGTAGTTCACGTGACAAGCTGAACCACAGGTGCTGCTCATCAGTGTGCTGCTCCTGGCCCTTGCTGCTGGCGAGTTCTGGAACCTTCTGGATCATTCTGCCTTAAACTTTCTACTTGTATCCTGTGGTGGGTCATGAGCCTTGTGAGAAACTGATCAAAATTATGGTATCACTGGCAAGAAAAATGCACACACACGCACAAGCACACAGACTCTGCAGACAATCGTGAGGGGTTCACAGACTCCCTGAAGCGCATATCCTTGGAGCTGCTGCACAGCCTGGTCTACACCATGGCCTGCAGAGGGCAGCAGGGCAGCTGGAGCCCACGTTGCGAGCTGCATTCCGGAAAGCTGGGGACGCTGTAGAACTTGATCAGCTTTTTGAAGGCACTTTTCTTCAGCATCATCATCTCTTCTGGGAACCTGGAGAAGAGCCTGACCCGGGAGGCTCCCCCGCTCTTAGCCGAGCCCTCGGCAGGAAAGGGCTTCTGGGCGCTCATGGGCACACTGTTGCAACTGAGGGACCGCACCGTCTTCTTCTTGTTCTGCACAGACAAATAACTGAAAAGGAAGGAAGACAGCTTGTGCTTGTTGACGTCTGGTGCCTCTTCTGAAAAGCAGTCATCCAGTGGGTCCGCCAGGGTTTCAAGATGGCAGCTGTCTTCCCTCCTCACAGGACTGGTGCCCACACGCTGAGGCTGCTTGATGATCTTCCGAGCCTGGGCTGGGTCATCTCCTCCCCCATTGGCAGGTGGGAGGGGCATTCCGCCGGCCAAGGCTCTGCAGCCTCTGGCTTGAGGGCTTGGCTGGGACGTGCAGTGCTGACTGAGGACAAGGGTAGCAGCATCGCGAATGAGATTCCAGTCTCTTAGGATGTCATCCCTGGTGGTGAACTGGGATGTCACTGTGAAACGAATTATCAGCTTGTTTTGGATGGTGGCCGGGATGACGAAGAGTTGGCCATCTTTGGCTATTTCCTTTAACACACTTTCTGTGAGACAATTAGGACCCTGTTTGAAGGATAAAGAAATGTGAAGTCTACATCACAGTTCCAAGAAGCATTCCCAGAGGCCCAGCATTTGGATGTCTGAGTGACTCAACAGCCGCTCAGCTACTTTGAAACAGCAGCTAACTCCAGTCACTGGGGCCACAGAAAATGACATTACCTTTAGACGGAAGACCACCAGGCCGAGGTGCCTCTTGGCAGGAATTTCAAAGAAAGGATCATTTCTGACCAAAGATTCAAACACCTTTGCCATCTCAATACCCTGGAATTGTAAACACAGAGAACACAGATTAGTATTTGGGAAATGACAAACTGTGCACAGACTTTCACACATGGCAGCACGGTTTAAACCAGGGAGAAACACCCTGAACCACGTAGACCTGAGGTGCTCTGGCCTGCCCAGCTTTGCTATTTGCCTTTGCTCCTATTCTGAGCTAGACAACTTCTACCGGCTTCATACTTGCTGTCACATCAGAGCCATGTGGACAACTGTACCTCAGGGCAGAATTTCACCTCAGCTCCAGGACCCAGAAGCCCTGTTCTGTGACTCAGGCAACCTGGCCTCTATCCTGGCTTCACAGCTTCTCAACTGTTGAAAGGGCAAGTAAGGGCCCAAAGGAAGCCTGCGCTCTGCATCCCCCAGGCCACGTGTCTCACACAAGGCAGTGTCTGCCGAAGGAAGACGCTATATGGGCCTTGAACAGGCTGGCAGCCACCTGACCTCATCCTGAGCTGCATGGTCCCTTGTTTCTCTGATGTCTTCACAGCTTGCCCCTTGAATGCCTTTGCGCTCCATTTGCGCTGACATTCCATGGAACACACATTTCATGTATTATCCTCACTGGCACCATGGATAGATAGGCTTTGTGCCTAGTGAGTACAGAGCTTCCACTTAGGAGGAGGAGAATGTTCTGGAAAAGTGAGAATAATTGCACAGCATTTATTTAAGGTCACACTGAGTTATATGGTGAAGTGCTACATTTTATCACCAAAATTTTAAGATTTTTGTATCATCATATTAATCGTTCATTGACATTTATATTATTTTATAAATTGCCCTCTTGTTTGGGCAGTCCTGGGGGATTGAACTCAGGGCCTTCACACTGAACTACATCTCCATTCATACTCTTCTCTTTATATCTTGAGAGGTCTTGCTGAGCCACTACATTACCCAGGCTGAGTTTAAATTTATAGTCCTCCTGACTCAACTTTCCAGAGTGCTGGAATTGCAGATGGACACTACCATGCCTGGCTGTAGCAACTTCTTCTCCCCAGGATGTGGCTGTTCCCGTCTCAGTCACCACCACTACAACTTTCATCAGCAAGCCCTAAGGCCCACTGTGGCAGAGGAACTATGCTTCTAGCTGTTTTCTAGCTGTTCTGTACCTCGCATTTCATTTTTGATGAGTCACGATTCTCCCCATGTCTTTCTCTGCACACCGATTTCCATACATGCCTTGCCAACTTCAATGCCTTTCTGACTAAGTTTTTCTTAAGTCTATATGACAGCCATTAGGATGTCACAGTTGCAGGTCTGGAATCAGGCTGGCTAAGGATGTGAAATGATCCTTTGGAGCAAGGAGAAAAAGAAGCTATCTTTGTGGTAGGAGAGAGATCCAGGCACTTTGTTCTTCTTTCTCATTTTCTAGGTGGAGCCATGGGAAAGTGACTTCCCAAGGCCCTGGCAGCAGAACAGGTCCCCATTGCCACAAGGCTTCTCCCCCCATCATGCTCCACTTCCTCCTACAATGCATGCTCTTTGCACAAATAGCAGAGGACAGCACATAGCTCTCTCTGTGGGCAACGAGGCCAAGGCTGAGACCAGGGCCTGCGTATTCCTGACCAAGGGGCCAAGGACAGACAGTGCCACATGACTTCCTGTGAATAAATGGGTAGGGCCACTGCAGCCACACACTAGTGGTTACGTGTTTTCCATGTTGACTTTGTGCCACAATGCAGAGCTTGCAACAGTGACTTTAGGGCCCACCAAGCCAAAACGCTGACTATCTGCTCCTTACAGAGAAAGTTCACCAGTCCTTGATCATGAGAGGAGGAGGATGAGAATGGATTACCATAAAAGGAGGTGTGGAGATGGAAGGGGAGGGGCAACATTCATTAAGTGCTCAACTATTGGGCCCTGTGCTAAGAACTACCTATCACTTATGTCACCAAATTCTCACAATAAACCTTTGGGAGCAGTATTGTCATTTTCCCACTCTATAAATTAGGAAGACAAACACAGAAAGATTAAGTAATTTATCCAAGATCACCAAATAGGAAGGATGGAATGAAAAGTCAAATCCAAGGGCCAGCCAGATAGCTCAGCAGATTAAAGCACCTGCTAAGGCAGAGGCAGGAACCAGGGTTCAATTCCCGGACTGCTGTGCTGGCCCCACCCCCAGGGCCCGCTGAGACTGGGCGTGTTGGCACACGCCTGTAATCCCAGCGCTTGGGAGGCTGAAAAACAGGAAGGATCACTACAAGTCCGATCTGTATAGTGAGACCCTGTAGACCCTGTACTAAATACATGAAAAATAAATAAATATCAAGCCCAGGTTCCATTCTAGTGCACTACCCTATGACACAGAAATATGACACAACCTCAAGAGCTTGGCACAGAAAAGGAAGCCTAGAGCTACAAAGAAAGCGTCTGCAAATAGGAAGTGTGGATGAGGCCTCCGGCCCTCTGCTCGTGCGCAGTTGCTGGGTCTGAGCCTCAACCATCCGGGTGGCCAGACCCACCTCAGCACTGTCGTAAGACTCTAATGAGGGGCTGGGGAGATGGCTCAATGGAATAAGTGCTTCCCTGGCAAGCGCAAGGGTCTCAGTTCAATCCCTGGTTCCACCAAAAAAAAAAAAAAAAAAAAAACAGACTCTAAAGAAACACTCCATTTCCTAGGTAAAAGGCACTTTGTGAATAATAATCATTCTAATCACAATAAATCTGAAGAGATAAAATTAACTTGTATCAAAGGATTTCTGTTTACCTCTTGCTATTATGTGACACCTCTAGCCTCGCAGATCAATTTCATGTCACTGAGTGGGTGACCTAGGACCCCAGAAAGAATACTCAGAGAAGCAAAACTCAAGCCACAGCTCCCCAAGGCCCAGCGACGGCAGAAGGATTAGCAGGGAGGAGACACACCGGGCAGCCCCCAGGGACAAGCTGTGCTCAGGGCTCCCGTGATGAACAGAGATAGCCACCAGGGGCAAGCCAGGCCCAACACTGAGCCACACAGCAGGGCCCCCAGGGCAGATCTACAAACTTGATGCGAGGCTTCCTCCTTAGGAGAAGAGAAAAGCACCCAGGCTCAGCCCCAAGGTGCACGTGCTACCTACGTGTCTGACGTGGGCTTGAAGATTCTTCACCCCAAAGGACCGAATCACGAACCAGAGTTTAATAGAGCGAAACCGCCGGCTCAGGGGGATCTGCCAGTGCTAGAAAGGAAGGAGAGAGCCCATGGTTAGAGACAGCACACCTGGGCATCATCTGGTGCCTGCCCGCCCTCCAGGGACCGGTGGTGTTGCCATGACTCTCGGATCTGTTGCTAAGGAGCCAGCCACAGCAAGTTACCCAAAGGATGCTCTGTCGGTGATGACAGCTGGCGGCCCTGTCCCGCAGCAGGACCAGTGGACACCAAATCCCTGACCTTGGCGTAAGGAGGAGATCACTTGCTTCCAGAGCTGCTTTAAACGTCTCACCCCAGCACGGAAGTTCAAGCAGTGGCAGTACATTTTTATTTTTTCGGAACAAACCTAAGTTCCTTGAACAGCAGAAGTTAAAGTTCTATTTCTATTCATCCCATCCCCCCCACACACACACCAGATGTGAGTTCAAGAAATACAGTGAATATTTACATCTTTCTAAAGTATTACAATAAAAGAGCCATTACTGTCAGTTCTCCCTTCCCCACTTCAAGCCCAGGGAGCCCCAGCATTCTTGGCCCCTCCTGCCGCGGCTCCGGAAGTCCCTTTTCACATCTTGGTGAGGTGTGACCGCTGCTGCCGAGCCCCACGCACAGGAAGGCTGAGCGCGGAAACACGGCGTGCTCCTCCACCTTCCTCACGGGCCCTGGCCCTGTGTGATGTCTGGCCCTTCTCAAAGTCAAGCTGACCACAAAAGGTCAATGTTTTGAATCAAGGCAGCCACGAAGCGCAACTGAGGACACCCCGGGGAGACGACTTCCAGAGCTGCTCCGGAAAGTGGCAAAAGTACTGGGATGGTGTGTGCGAGGGGCGGCGAGGGACATCCGTGCCCTGGGTCCTCTACGGTGATACATCTTCAGCACTTGCACATTCACTGTGCATTTCTGTGACATTTCACCTAGTTGAGAGTAGAGTACTTAAGAGCGAAGACCCTGGAGCCCTGGAGATGGAGTCTCTGCCCCGGCTCTGCCCCGTCCAGCCGTGTGACCTCAGCAGGGACAGCTCACTGCCATCCCTGAGACAGAAGAACAGCGCTCCTCAGGTGCAGAGAGCTTGGCAGTCAGCCTGGCTCACTAGACCATAAACAGCTGCGCTCTGCCCAGGACCCCGGAGGGAGAGGTGACCCTCATGGAGCCCCCTACTCAGTCCTGCCTTTCTCTTGTCACAGCTGTGGCCTTAGTGGCATCACCCAAGCTTCCAGATTTCAATTAAGCACCCAAGTCTCTGCCTCTCTCTCACTATGACTCTTTGCTCTGGTGACTAAATTCAATAGTTTAAAGTTCAAAGGTGGCTCTTTCCAGGCGTCCTCCTGAGAGTGACATCGTCTTTAAACCCTCCCTGATGCACCGCCGTGATGCCCAGGGAAGACAGGGCGACCTGGAAATCGAATTACTTCCTAAAGATCATCCAACTTTTGGGTGATTATCCAAAATGCTCCATTGTGGGAGCAGACAATGTGGGCTCCAAGCAGATGCAGCAGATCCGAATGTCCCTCCGAGGGAAGGCCGTGGTGCTGATGGGCAAGAATACCATGATGCGCAAGGCCATCCGAGGACATCTGGAAAACAACCCAGCTCTGGAGAAACTGTTGCCTCATATCCGGGGGAATGTGGGCTTTATGTTCACCAAGCAGGACCTCAGTGAGATCAGGGATATGCTGCTGGCCAATAAGGTGCCTGCTGCTGCCCGTGCAGGTGCCATTGCACCATGTGCAGTCACTGTGCCTGCCTAGAACACTGGTCTGGGGCCCGAGAAGACCTCCTGCTTCCAGGCTGTGGGCATCACCACTAAAATCTCCAGGGCACCACGGAAATCCTTAGTGAAGTACAGCTGATTAAGACTGGGGACAAAGTGGGAGCCAGCGAGGCAACCCTCCTGAGCATTTGAACATCTCCCCATTCTCCTTTGGGCTGATCATTCAGCAAGTGTTTGAAAATGGAAGCATCTACAACCCAGAAGACCTTGACATTACAGAGGAAACTCCGCATTCTCGCTTTCTGGAGGGTGTCCGCAATGTTGCCCGTGTCTGTCTGCAGATTGGTTACCCAGCTGTTGCATCAGTGCCCCATTCTATCATCAATGGGTACAAGCGGGTCCTGGCTTTGTCTGTGGAGACTGATTACACCTTCCCACTTGCTGAAAAGGTCAAGGCCTTCTTAGCTGATCCACCTGCATTTGTGGCTGCTCCCCTGTTGCCGCAGCCACCACGCTGCTCCTGCTGCTGCAGCGGCCCAGCCAAGGTGGAAACCAAGGAAGAGTCGGAGGAGTCAGAGGAGGATATGGGATTTGGTGTCTTTGACTGATCATCAAAAAGCAAACTATTCAGCCTGCCTGATTGGCAAAACAGGAATAAAGGTATAATTCTCTTTCAAAAAAATAAATAAATAAAGTTCAAAGGAGCAGTTACCATAGATCTAGAAATTTCCAAACCAGCATTAGAAAAATTTATCAGATCTAAAAACATAACAAAGGCTTTGGAGAGTATACCCAGTTACTCTGACGAGGAATGTGAGTTATCATAGCCTCTCTGCCAAATGACAGAAAGCACCCAACACTTCTTTCCTTTCTCCTTTCTTTCCTCTTTCTTTCTTTCTTTCTTTCTTTTTCTTTCTTTTGTTCTTTTCTCAGTGTTGGGAGCACACTTCACCCATGCTAGTCTGGGCTACATACACACCCTCTTCCACAATTTCTGTTCAACTGAAGATAAATATTTGCCTTGTCAAATACTGATCTGCCCACCAAATGCCTGACAAGTCCTCACACGTGTCCTCTTCTTCATCCTCCACCCCATTTTCTGAGCCAGGCATCGTGGTGAGGTTACCCCTCGGGGATGGACGGCGTTTCTCTGCTTCTAGCACTAGCCCCATTGCTAAGCGAGCTGTCTGCAGAGAAAGGGCTTCTGCTGGCCAGCAGAGGGCACCCGAGCCAGAGAACAGGACGGCACCAGCGAGCATGGACCCAGGCGTCTACTCCACCTAACAGACACTGCAGGAGGACCCCTGGGCGCTAAGACTTTAAGTGTCCTGATGTCCGGGGGGTGTGGCAAGCCCGCTTCTTTCAGTGGCAAATGAACAGGGAGCGGCTGAGATGACTGTAACTCTGGTTCCGTCCCAGTCTTCTTTATTCTCAGTGGCTCCTCTTCTTGTCACTCTTCCAGCACAATCCATCCTGACCCAGAAGGGCAGCTTTAGCCAACAGTTTCCGTTGGACCAGGAAGGAAAGACTTGTGAAGGCTGATGTGGGCTCTTCATTGACTGGAGACTGCCCCAGCCTCCTCTGGGACCTGTCACGGGGGTCTCCATGCCAGCAGGGAGAACAAGGACAATGAGGAGGAAGGCAACTTAGGTGGTGCAGAAACTAATCCTGACTTTAGGTGGCTCCAGGGCACAGAGAACTGAGCCCTGGGTCTGCTCCCCTGGGGTTCAGCTTGCTTGCTGGCTGGGCAGGGAGCAGGGCTGAGCTTCCATGGAAGACTGCAGCCTCCAGGACCCAGGCTGGCCAGAGCGGCTGGGAGGACCCTGGGAATACCTGGAGGCCAGCCGCAGCTGTCAGAGGCCCCACGCTTTCCTCATGGGCTTGACAACTAACGCCACAGGGTTAGAGATGGGCAAAGGATGAGGGCAGAGCAGCAGCTTTGTTGAAGCAAAAATAGCCACTGCTGGGGAAAGGTTCGCAGCTTTGGAAGTTATCTGGAAAAGAGGCCGCAGTGTTAAAATCTCCAAGCTGATGGGAACGAACTGCAGGAAGAGCCTGAGATGCAGGCCATGAACAGGAAAGCCAGCCTGAAAGTCTACACGAGCCAGGGCTAGATGACACTGGTGGTTACGAGGATCTGAGGACACTAGGACAGGGGCAACGTTTCATGCTCAGGAACAAAACCTAGCTAAAAAAAAAAACAAAAAAAAACAAAAAAAAAAAAACC